TCTTGCAAAGTACTGCATCTTGGTGAAAGATACACTGAATTTTAACCCTGACTGCTAAGAGACGGCTGCCAGATGGCTTTAGGACCATCTAACGATGCTTAAAGGATTTGCTCTACTGATTATCAATTATGTCATCTACTCCTTAGGCTGAGGTACTATATATTAGAACGGATTGGATTATTCTTCGTGAAAGCTGCACTAAAACATGCGCAGATTTAAACCTCTGAGAGTAAGGCAGTTGAAACTAAGCTTTGACCCTCTGCAGAGCTATAGAATGATAAAGCAGTACGCAGAGACCAGTAAAAATAATCATTAAGACATTAATGAAAGGTCAGAGAAAGCGAGTAGCAGGAGCTTCGAGGCTTATGAACGATTCTGAGCATTTCACAATGACTATTCGTTGGTTAGGACTTTTCAATCAGCGTTTCTCCATCAGTAGAGAGTCATCGTAACAGTCACGAAAACAGAGGTTCAATGCTAAGTCAATCAGCCAGTTTCGATGTCCGCTTCTACCTTCGAGTCGCGGAGGTAAATTTGTCAATCAGTCTCCTTAATGTTCCCGATGCTGAAGGTGGAGCTTTGGTAGAAGATTACCTTACCTTGGGACAGAAACTGTTGCGACAATTTTGATAGGCCATTCTTGACCATCTCCAAGGTCTTCGACTGGTCAATTGAGCAGAACAAAACGTAGCTCTTTAGCCTTCCTTTCCGGAAGCATCGCAAGACGAGTCCAAATCATTCGAGCCGTAACTTCTCAAATCCGGAGATGCAGCGACTATACCCCAAGATTCTGTCGGATATCTTAACTCTGACCATTTTGAGACATCTCAGCTCAGCTATCCGTCTCAGAAAATCCATTTTAGCTACGGTTCGAGTCTTTCATCGTTCTGCATAAATAAGTAACCAGCACATCCTGGGAAAAAACATTAAACTTTTCGTTGTGATGGTAACCTAGTCATAGGAGAAGAAGCAGAACATCGCTAGCCGGTAGCAGAAAAACACTGACTAAAGCTCCAAATGGTCCAAGAAAGAAAAGTGCCGCAAATGACGCCCAGTCATGGCAGTGTGAGACCGCCATCTCAACAGTTAGAGAACTTCTGTTTTTGCCTTTCATTCCTTCATCATGGTGGGTACCTATTCATTTCGTGTATTTTGCCACACGCATCGGAAAAACACTGACTGACCTTAAGACGTTCGCAAATCACTTCAGTAAACAATCCACGTCATCCATCATGCATGATCATTACTCATCTTCGCTTCGTTCCGTGGCAACTTTTTTCCTGCTACCTCTGTGTAAATATTTTTGCAGTGTTGTTTCTTTGTTTTCCATATTCTTAGTAAGATACTTTTGGAATCTTATCCGTAAAACATCAGATCACCATCACTTATGTCAGCAACGCACTCGATTGATTGAGGGATCGTAAAGTTAATGATTATTAGCTTTTGAAAAATCGTTCGTAATGAGTGTGATGTGTCTCCAGCGAAAAACATGATGTAAGAACCATTTAGAACCGCAGCTTCTGAAACACCCCGTCCAGGTATCTAGCGGCAAGTTGGAACATTATGCGCAGTTAACCTCAGTTTTGGAAAAGTTATGCACGATTTCATAGCAGAGCGATGTACACTTAAGCAGATAAGAAATTTTGAGTAAGTTCGGCATCCCGTAAAAAACAGGAAGAGTTGGACAAAGGTGAAGCTATCTATGGGCTTTCCTTCAGTCCCAGTTGGTCATTGACAGTCGTCAAATGCGAAAATTTGATTCTTAGCATGGACTCTTGGAAGTAGAATTTTATCCGCCTGTACAATATTACAGGGAAATAATGTTTTTCGGCAAAAATAATTGCCACATTTGTGCGATTAATGAGTAACAGTGAAACTGCAACCAACACATAAGCTCTTGAAAGCTCTGCGAGCAAGGTTATAATTGATCCAGTGATTATATATAAGAACTAGATTTATAATACTGCTCTGAAATTAAAGTTCAACTCCATTAAAACTGAATCAATCAAAGGTTTGCGGCTTGACGAATGAATGCATTAGCAGCAGGCATTGCCGACTTTGCGCAAAGGAGGTCACATTTTTCTGTTGGTTTCAGGACATATTATTTTTCTGCTGGCTTGGACATTGCCATATGGGCGCGAATGTTTCAACGCTCGAGATCTACCGGGAAGCTTGTGCACAAAAGTCAATAAACGATTTGATACTCATGAATCCTCTGACTAACCACGCTCAGTAATGGATGTTCGCGTTAAGAGAGGTGCAGTTCTATCCCCGAATCACTACGTTATTGTTGGCACACTAAGCTGTAAGAAATGGAATGCCATACGAAGATTCGGTGGCAGAAGCAACCTGAGAATCAAATGGGAAACATTATCTTCGGTGGACACGAGAGCGAAATTTGCAAACAACATCGAGCGACGGTTTGAACAGATCCCAGCGATGACAACTGATGTTGAAACCGAGTGGCAGCTCCTTAAGAGCGACATATTAGCCGAAATTTACTCTATTGTAAGGAACAATTTTGTCGAGTTCGAACTACGCCGTGATGACCTCACCTTTTCAGATACCTATTAATAAACATCAAACATTGAATCTGTTGAATATGAAATGAACCAGTTGAATATGCACTGCGAGGGCTACAGTAAGTGAAATTAAGTCAAACTTGATTCTTAGGCAGATTTTCGCTGTCAGACCAATGTCTATTTCAATCCCCGGCAAAGATGGAGGCTCTGCAAATTAACAATGCAGTTTGTTTCATTAAAAGTTGGGGTTATGGATGTATTTATATTGCGAAGACGTTTACTACTCCTCAAATGAGAATTGATGAAAGTAAAGGAACAATCAGATGTTACAATCCGGAACATTCTAGTTTTGCTTCCCACTCTGTAAAATGACTACAGAATGGACAAGGCTGATGTCAGCAAAGGATCAATCATAGAATTGACAGCGTCAATTTGCTGTCGGTACATCCAGTTCGTTTGTCATCTCTAGGGCACGGGGCTCAATAAGTTGTCCCGTTTCATTTTAGACACATGTTTTTGACACTCATAAGTCTTGGCGCATACTGTCAGTTACCTGTCACTCTGGGCGAGGCTTTCTCCAACTCGTTGTTTGCCATGATGATGGCCATTGTAGTTTGGCTGAAATCTCGGCAGTTCCAGTAAAGTCTCTCATTCGTCTGTTTCGTTGCATCCAAAATCATTGAAGGTGCCAGTTTGCTGATGAGGAAATATACTTTGAAACACAAGACCGTCAGGCGTAGAGGGGGCCGGCAAAATCAGTTGAACTGTGCAGAACTGTGCTCGTTAAGTTGATGTACAAAGAGCTCGTTGCAGAGCGAATGGGCAGTCGCCGACCTGCAATGCTGGATCTGCGAAGGTCCGACATTCATCACAGCCGTGGATCAAAGGAATGAAGCACGTCGTTCCAACACAGCAACGTCCGCAGAGACAATGGGTCACTCAATCCGGCGGACCATCAAATGAAACGCGAGGCGGTAACTGACCGTGGCATGTTAGATAGTGGTGCGCTTATGACCCCTTAAGGCGTCAAAGACACTGCGGGACTCATTCTATAGCCGAGGTTGAACAGCAGGACCGGAAGACAGGTCTTTGCCTTAAAGAACAAAAAAACGCCATCCGGTGGAACTTGTTTCATGTGTCAGTCTGTGTAATCACTTTTGAATCGATAAATGTAATTCCGTGTATGGGTGTCGCTCTGCACAAACGATGAGTGAAGCTGCGGTTCAAACAACGAGGAAGTCTAAGTACGGAAAATGGATGGTTCCACTACAGAAGAAAGAAACTTTTGTTTCTTATCAATAGCAGTCATGACGGATGCATCGACAAGCAGAAACGCAGACATGCCATCACAAGCAACATTTCACTCTTGCTGTGAAATTCAAAGCGCCAGTAAAGGAACGGAAAGTTGGTCAACGGTGGGATGTCGACCTTCCTTCGTTTTCGTAATTGGGTCATTTTAATGCCTTTCTTTTCATGAAGTTAATGGTACTGTGCTGATCTCACTTTCTATGCCATCAGCCAGGAATGTCCTATTTTCAAGGAAGAGTCTACAGTCATATGGCAAGCATAGCTTGTAGTTTCCTGTTTCCTTTCCACATCGTGGTACTCATTTATTAACAATGGAAAGGAGAAAGATTAGTGCCCCGACAAAGACTTGAGCCCTGGACCGATCGTTTCAGAGTTCGATGCCCTATCGATTGAGCAATGGTAAATTCCTTGCTCAAGGGAATTGATGAATACGATAAAGATTGCACTCCAGCGGAACTGGACCACGCACCTCAGGTCGTTCGAATCAAATCTCTTAGGCAAATGTGCCACGCGACACAAAGCGTCTGAAATGGAGGCTAAGATAAAAGTCTTTAAATGGCAGAGTACGAGGTTCTTCTCAGTCATGGCCAGTCATTGCACTAGCGTGACTGGTGCTCTTCACATGAAGATTAACATGGAAACATTTCGTCTGAAGACGCCGGCAGTTGGAGCTGATGCTCATCGATGCCTTATGCGTAAACTGCAGATGTTTATGGCCTAAAGCACTTGACCAATCGATGAACTGTGAGCGTCCGCGTCTTTCGCCTACTTATTGTGTTGGTAATTTATTACTCAGTACTTTTTTATATAAGTAATCGACCCCTGATCAGAAGCGACTGCGGCGAATGACAGAAGACATGCAGTGGAGTATCGACGAGGAAGTCGTTGAACTTTCGTCGATTTACGCAACGCGTCTGAGTACCGGCGAGGATCGCTTCTGACATCATTGCAGGCAGAAGCAATTTGTTAACGAGCGATGATCCTAAAAACCGACCAATTGATATATGTCTCGCCGCTGCCGCCGGTGCCGACAAGCCGATGAGAGGAGCATGAGGGCCAGTCGACGACTCGACACGTTCATCCCTGATCAGCAATGCCAGTAGACTGTGCGGCATTCCGGCGTTTCCAAATCTACGCATGGTCAGTTCTACCATCGGGCGACCCAACAGACTTCTCCTTCAGCTAGAGAAATGCCTTCGTTTGCTGAGTACGTGTTTTCTAATGTGTCATCTAGCTAGTACGTAACAGTCAGCACGTTTCAGCAGTTGTCACTCACCGCATGCTTACCTTTTAACTTCAGTTGCATCTTTTCTGCCTCAAATTTCACATGCCACTACACTTTGCCAGAACAACGTGTCGATACAGAAGGCATGGCGGAAAGGTGGAAGCAGGCATTTCATTGATGGTGCTAAAGACGGTTACTGCTGGTTGATCGTCTCCAGTCGAAGCATTCGTTTTCAGACGCTCTGCTACTCACTGGCATGTCGTTAAGGGAGAGGCACTCGAAATTGAGAGTAGCAGAGGCCGAATGCCCCGCATACATTGCACCCGGCGAGCATGTCTTGGGTCGCATGACAGCTCCGGAATGACAGTTTAGCCAGAGATTCGTCTTGAGAATCGTTCGATGTTCCTGCTTAAACGTACTAGGAAGTTGACATACGTTTATTTGCCAGCTTTGGGCCTAGTTGTGGCGTATTACTCATTGTGAAACCACCAACTCAAAGCCCTTCATTGGCAATGATCAAACAATTCTTGACAAGGTTTCTTTCTGGCATTAAATCACCGAAATAGATTATTACTGCATGGAATCGCTGAAAGTGGAATAATCTGTCAAAATATCAATGGGCGTGTTCGTTGAGCTGTCATAACTGATTCGCTAGTGAGCTCATGGATCAAACAGAGCAGTGACTGTGCCGATAACAGACGACATCCTTCTCAGAGTTCTCGTACTAAAAAATCTA